GCTATCTAGGAACAACCTGTGGACAGAATCTCCAAAAAAGTAACTCAGGCCTCCATAAGTACATAGAACATCTTTCAAGGAATATAAGAAAAACAAATTACCACCACTAGTTTCAAGGAGTTCATCACAATGCAAGATATTCTAAGGACTATTAAAATCAAATTTATTAACACTTACAAATCCAAAAAGCAGGTATAAATTAACAGGGTGCTGGTGTCTGTAGAGGGTCAGTGCCACAATTATTGCCAAAGATCCAATCCCAGATATCAAAAGCAAGGCAGGTCTGTAAAGTTCCATACAGAAAAAAAAAGTAATTAAAATCAAGTATCTATAAGATTGAAACCTAGTTTATATAAACCCAAGTTCTTAAGTGATCATCTAAAGATATCCAAAGTAAATGTAATGCACATTTATAATAAAACTAAAAAAAACCCCAAACACACTAGTGGTGTGTTCTAAAACACACCACTACAGATAATCAGTTAAAATAGTAGTCACAAGTAAAGACAACTTTTTCACACTGAAGCTAAAGATTGTCCAGGAATCCATCACCTGGAAATGAACCCATATAAAGAAGGAAATCCATCTATACAAAACTAATACTAATATGAAATTTTTGCCTTTTATGAACTCCACGTTCAGGGAACTGTTTTTTATAAACACCTGAATGCAACAAACAAGGCCACTAACTGCAGCAAAGAAAATCAGTACTGACCAGTAAGTATTGCTAATTCATTCAAGCAGCCCTCCAAGAAAAAACTGGACCAACACCAAACACCAAATCACAACAGTTCTAAGCAAGCAGAACAATTTTAAATTATCAGATTAAAGTAGAAAACTGTAGTTTAACCTCTGTTGTATACACTATAGTTTATACAGAAACTGAAACTTTGATCCTCCTTCCTTTATATATGCACTTTGAAGTGAAAGTAAAAGCAAAGTCTGCAAGAGTACTTGGAGCAAAACAGAAACTGGACTCAGTGCTCTCTTTTCCCCAGCTGTTCTTTTCCCTGGTCCATTCACCACAGTTTGGATTTTGAGACTTATATTTTTATCATGAAAATCTGAGAGGCAAAAAGAAGCAAGCCCACAGGAATTTTAGCAGAGTAGTTTTCAGGGGAAAACAAAACAAATCCAAACCCAAAAGAAGATAGAGGGAAGAAGAAGAATAAGACAATTCTGCTTTTTGGAAGTAGTACCTATAAACAACAACGTTCCAAAGAGCACTTAGACCAAGAACATGTCAGTAATTGAGATGTTCTGCAACTCATGTGTAAGTTTTCATGGCATTAAAATAAGCTATTAGTATTTATTGACATTAATACGAAGAAGAAGAAGAAGAGGAAGGAGAAGAAAAAGAAGAATTTTATAATAAATCAAGGAGAAAAATGTCAGAGAAGAAATTTCCTAATCAAGTTACAAAATTTCTATTACAGAATCAAAACAGTGTTTAAAAATGGTTAGGAATACTGAGGCATTCCAGAGCAACAAACTGCACAAACTATACTTAACACATGCTAAACAGCTCCATTTCATTTTAATATTTACCTTTCATGAACAAATGCCTGCAGTCCAGTAGAGTATAGAAAAATTGCAGATGTGACTGTGGTCAGTAGAACTTGGATAGAAAGAATGCTGTAGACTTTCCGCAGAAAACCTAGAATAAGGAAAATAAAAATTAAATCCCTTTTGAGTTATATAGTTCTATAGTAAACCAGATACAAGTTTTCTTTATTAATTATGGAAAGTGGAGAGTAGTTCAGGACACACAGATGTATCATACAGATATTCTCTGTTCTTAGTGGGAGGAGATCAAGTGTATTAGGCAAAATAACCTTACAGGGAGAAACAATTCAGTCATTAACAGCACAGCCTTAAATAGAGTACACACTACCAGAAGCTGAATTACCTGTACACAGCAGGTAGTTAAATACACTCGTAAGCTACGAGGGACTGAAGCCTTTTGGTGATACACTGAACAAACCCAGCAGTAACCTGCTAGCTAGCATAGCACCAGCAATTTTGCTGCTGGCAGTCTCCCTCGTATTTCCTACGGTCCTCTTAATTTTTCAAACAAGGTAAAACTGTAATTTTATAAGAAGAGGTCTCCTGATTATCAGAAACAGCTCATATAAAATTTCAGAGCACACAGCCGGTTTTATTCCAAACCGTATCCAGTAACATCGCAACTATTTCAGCAAAATGTATCCAGTAGCACTGCAAGGATTACAGATTAGACACATTCTACAAGAGAACTCAATGCGTTTGAGACCTGTGCATTAGCAGCAAGGCAGGACTTCATGGGCAGGAATGTGACCTCACAGCAGAAGAGCCACAATATTTTAGAGGAAGAAATTCAAATCCTGCAGTCGCATGGTCAAGCTTCGATAATTACACACACCAATGCGTCTCACGTATCAGGTTTGGGCTTCAAAATCCATCACTCTAGGCAAAATCAGGTCTGAATCTACACCAAGTTACCCGTGACAGTAAGTGACAGCACCTTCCGCCGGTCACAGTCCCTCGCCCGTAGTAAGTTTCCCTGGGCTGGGTTCCGCCCCGGAACGCAGCGGTTTCACCCGGCGCACGGCACCGCGCGGGGGCACCGGGC